ACACACACACACACACACACACACAAAGTATTTCCTTCATTCCGCTCATAGTAAAAACATTTGTCTCAGAGAATTAAGCCACTGGGTGTATAATGGAAAATTGTTTGTGAATGTGTGCTGGGTACTGTATGTATGAGTTATGTTGGAAACACATAACCTAAGATATATAACCAAAATAATCAGTTTTTCAGGACATTATTAATACATATTAAACAACTATTTCCATAAGTTAGAACAATAAAGACAGAGAAACTATCCTGTATATATAAGTATTTCACAGTAAAAGATTAAACCAGCATGATTGGATTATGTATGTCTAAGAAGTTGAAAAATGCGTTGTCATCCCACCTGAATGATGATTTAAATGTCTCTAGAGGCCAGAAAACATTCCAAATTCCAGTAAGGCAGGAGATGAGAGTATGTTTTGGGTCCTCATTACCCATCATACCTTTGAACTTTATTTCGCAGACGAAATGCAACATCACCATACTCCAGCAGATGACAGTGTCTCCTAATATTACAGCACGGATGAACAACGGCATTTTTACCTCTTAGGAATAAATTGCGTTGAACATTTACATTTGAATTTCCACCATAATGTGCACCACTGAAATAATATACTAATACATCTACTGTACTATATATGTGTGTCATTGTATGACTGAACGTAGCTTATATGTCTCATACGAGTTTAAGAAATACATAGTCAATCTCTCCAACTCTTGCTAGTAAAATTAATAAAAACTTTTTTACCAAGAAGTTTAAGGGAAACCATTACTGATTGGAGGAAATGCTGCTATTTTTGTTCTGCCACATCAATGTCACTAAATTCCTCAGTAAATTAAACTAATGGTTTAATCTACCAACACTAACATGGCAAAGACCTAAGATGTTTTAGCACAGGCCACTCTTGTGTAAACATCTCTTGTTTACTCACTGGTCATAAACATTAAATTGGCAGCACATTCTGAAACAGCAAACTTATTTATGGTAAATGTTTTTTAGATTGTTTGGTGTGCCATGTTTTTGGTTGCCAAATGCAGTAGCTTACCATTTTAGCCATAAACCAACATATACACATCTCTTCTGCACTGAATGGAGTATTTAGCACAGAATCAGCCAGAGCCTGCTGGTAGTACATGTTATTGAAGAAGACATTTAACTACCCAAGCACACAAAGGTTGCCAATATACCAAAATGAATCTGAAGCTATGAATTTTGTTAGCTTACACAGATATTATTAGACTCATTATATTATTGATCAGTCACTTTTATTGAATCAGCCCACCACCAGCACCATGACATCTTCAGATATCAAAGATGGTAATGAAATCAACAGTCAGAGAACAGGAGCCAGCCTGCTGAGTGGAAAAATACGAGTGTGTTTGGAAAAATTAGGGCGTTTGCATCCAGCCATTTCAAATTATGATAGTTGACAATGTCCAGTAGAATCATACACTTTTTAAGACACATGCGCCTTCTGGAATATTCTGGAAGGAATTAGTGACAATATGATGTTCACAATAACACAAAAACACCTTTTGTCTCACACACACTTTGAACATTTGTTCTTGTACAGTTGCTCTTATTCATTAAAAAAAATCATATACTTAATGACCAGTGAATGATGTGTCAAAAGTCACATGTTCTTCTTTTAAGAAAATTCAACATATTTTAGATAGAGTTTTAGAGTATTAGATCCAATAAAACTGAATTATGCAAAAACAAGACAGATTTGAACAACCTCCCCACAAAATTATGTAACCACTGCTCTTAATTAATGGCTCTAATATATATTAGACACATGAATTACATTTAAAAGTGAATTTGTGATGCTACACACACACACATACATACATATACATATATATATATATATATATATATATATATATATATATATATATATATATATATATATATATATATCAACTTATAATTTCCTTCCTGACAATATACAGTAGAAATGTAGACAGGCTGTGTAGGATTCTTTTATTCAGTACTCTGCGCATAAACCGTATCTGTTTTTATATTACAAAAGAAAAAAAAATTATAAAAGAAAACATTAAAATAAAGATTCATCTGTCTTGTTCATCCACTAGCAAACCCAAATCTAATTCCCATATGTCTATGTTCCTCCATCCAGTCCTTTTTTCTTCATCCTTTAAACACTTTGAAGTGTCCACCGAGGACAGTTTGGTCCTTGGAAGGCATGAAGTAAATAAGTGAAAACAAAAGGAGCTTGTGTGTCTTTGTGCAAAATCAACTAGCCAGCCAATGGTGTTCAAGCATCCCAGCCAGCTGTCATGCTATTGGCCGAAGTGTCGCCAAGGAGGAGGGGACTGCTGGACATTGAGGAGTGAGTTGTCTGAGTCAGTGTGTTTTGTCATTCAGTTGTGTAGTTTGAGAACACATTGAGGACTCAGAGTTCGTCTCGCGAGGCTCGGGACGCAGGCGGTGGTGTGTCCCCGGTGACACTGTTCTGAGCAATGGAGCGAATTTGTTCCTGCTGAGCAGTTTTTTTAGCATACTGTCTGTCCCAGTCTGTGTTGATGGCCTCGTCATCCCAAATAGTGGAGGTCTCTGTGTCGCTGAAGTAACCCGGCTCACCTGTATAGTGTGTTGGGTACAACAGCAGCGGCTCAACAGAGAAAGCAGACAGATCTCTGGGATCAAAGTGAGACATGTATGCCGTACTGAGAGAGAGACACGAGGAGAGGGGAGAAGAAAAGCAAGGGCATGAGAAAAATTACACAATTGATGTATAATAAAAATGTTTATATAATTTATTACTGTGATCGCAAAGCTAATTTTCAACAGCCATGGCCTTAATACATTGTTGCTGAATAAAAGTATAATTTTTTTTTATCTTACTTACCCTAAACATTCTTCATCTTAATATTGGCATACTAAGGTTCAAATGAATGTATATTTAGTACAATTAAATGATTCTATAATGGGTAAAGCTATCTGAACAACATGAATTTTTTTTTACTACACTTTACAATAATACAACACTAAATTCACACACTTGGGTTACACAATGACTCTTTCTCTCTCACACACACACACCACAAACACACAGAAAGTGGAGTATATTTATACAGTAATCCATCTGTCTTATACCAATGGCCCTTCCCCCAAAACTCAGAGAACCATCAATGGGAATTTTGTCCCTTGAATGCCGAGAACAGGAAGAACTGGCCCTTCCCAAAATTCCACAAAGTAGGAAGAGAGACCCAGAGAATGCAAGAACAGAGGAGAAGGACCACAGGGTAATGAGGGTATTAGGCAAGAGAGAGAAAGGCCAGTAAAGGCAACACATGCTGGGGGCACAGCTAGTGCTGAGTACGCCTCCCAATAGAGGAAACTGGGTAGAAAGGCAGCCATTGTGTGACCCAGTAGGGACACCATACTTTTCCCCCCACTCTGAACAATCTAGCACTGTGTCTGTCCTACTCAGCAGTACAGCCTCAGTGTGTACCTGTGTGTATAAGCTTCTGAAAAATCTATCCATCAATCTATCTATCGATTGATCCATCCATCTATCCATTTATCGATATATCCATCAATCTATTCACGTATTCCATCCATTTATCTATCTGTCAATTGATCCATCCATCCATCGATTGATCTATCATCCATCTATGCATCCATCCATTGATCTTTACTTACTTTACCTTTACTTTGTCATTTAGCAGACGCTTTTATCCAAAGCGACTTACAAATAAGAAAAAGTAATTAAAACTAAAAGCTAAAACTCTATAAATACTATATATATACACATTTAAGAAAAGAAAAGAAATTAAATAAAAATGACAAATGCATACAACAACATTTCAAAACTAAACATTTAAATGAAAACGAAAAAAAATAAAGCTAAAAACAATTGAAAATATTAAAAGAACAAACGGTATGAGTATAATAATGATTCTAACATAACACTAAGCCAAACACCAAAAAACAACTACATGTGTATGTACAGCCACACACGTATACATATATATATAAATACATTCAATATATATATATATATATATATATATATATATATATACTGTATATTATTTCATTTCCATTTTGTATGTTGAAGTACTGAAATAACTCAAATTAAATAAAACTAAAACTTAATAAAAAACCAATATAGATATAATAAAAAACTAATAAAATGACAACATTACTACAACTGTAACTAAAACTAAAATAGATAACTAATACAAATCAAACTATATTAGTTTATCAGTAATCCTAAAAAAATAACACTGAGCCAAACACACATGCTAAAATAACAACAACTTACTGACACATAGTGAGAAATGGTTATAAAAAAACTGAAACAAAAGTGAAACAAGTAGTAGGAAAGAGAAGAAATAAAAAGCGATAGTACTGTGAATGATCTATCCATCCATCCATTCATGTATCTATCTATGCATCCATCCATCCATGTACTGTATCTATCTTTGCATCCATCCATCCATTCATTCATGTATCTATCTATGCATCATCCATCCATCCATTCATTCATCTATCTATCTATGCATCCATCCATCCATGTATCTATCTATGATTCCATCCATCAATTAATTCATGTATCTATCTATGCATCCATCCATCCATGTATCTATCTATGCATCCATTCATCCATTCATTCATGTATCTATCTTTGCATCCATCCATCCATCCATTCATTCATTCATACATTCATCTATCTATCTATGCATCCATCCATTCATGTATCTATCTATCTATGCATCCATCCATCCATCCATCCATTCGTGTATCTATCTATGCATCCATCCATCCATTCATGTATCTATCTATGCATCCATCCATCCATCCATTCATTCATCTATCTATCTATGCATCCATCCATCCATGTATCTATCTATGATTCCATCCATCAATTAATTCATGTATCTATCTATGCATCCATCCATCCATGTATCTATCTATGCATCCATTCATCCATTCATTCATGTATCTATCTTTGCATCCATCCATCCATCCATTCATTCATTCATACATTCATCTATCTATCTATGCATCCATCCATTCATGTATCTATCTATCTATGCATCCATCCATCCATTCGTGTATCTATCTATGCATCCATCCATCCATTCATGTATCTATCTTTGCATCCATCCATCCATCCATCCATTCATTCATTCATACATTCATCTATCTATCTATGCATCCATCCATTCATGTATCTATCTATCTATGCATCCATCCATCCATCCATCCATTCGTGTATCTATCTATGCATCCATCCATCCATTCATGTATCTATCTATGCATCCATCCATCTATTCATTCATGCATTTATCTATGCATCCATCCATCCATCCATCCATCCATCGACTTATCCATCAATCTATCCTTGCATCCATCCATTGATCTATCTGTCCATCAATCTATCTATCCACACACCAATCCATGCATCACACTTACTTTGGGTGTTTGTTGAACATGACTGGCAGGAACTCATCCACAGGGAGCATCTTGCCAAATGGCTGAGCAGCGAGGAGTTTCTTGGCCCCCTGCTGTGAAAGGGCATAACCTAGAGTCCAATATGAGTAATCAGCCTCCACCAGATTATTAACACCCTCTACGGACACCTCCGGCTGAGCTACTTGCATTCGTTTACGGCCCACATATCTATGGAGAGCGAAGAAGAAAGAGAGAGATGTAGAAAGAGAAAGATCAATATGCTTTTGTGAATGATGAAAACGTCTCATGTGTTTGTTTTCAGCTGGTGTTGTTCTTACATGAGGTCCCAGTTTAGCTGAGCTTTTTCAACATCCTCCATGATGGTCTGTAACCTCCTTTTAAATTGAGGCTCAAACCTCACGTCATCCTCCAACACCAGCACATGCTGCAGACCCCTCTCCACCACCTATCACACACAAACACACAAAGTAAACGGAAAACGATTTATCTGTTGAAAAATCTTGTTTCAGAAAATGGAAAAATGTACTTGAATGTTGCTCATCTGATTAACTGGACAATTATACTACGTTTGTCTTATATAAAACATTAATTAACAGTGAAAATCTTAACAGAGGCCAAAAATAAAGACACAGGGTGTATCCCCTGTGTGTGTACATACAGTGGGTACGGAAAGTATTCAGACCCCCTTAAATTTTTCACTCTTTGTTATATTGCAGCCATTTGCTAAAATCATTTAAGTTAATTTTTTTTCCTCATTAATGTACACACAGCACCCCATATTGACAGAAAAACACAGAATTGTTGACATTTTTGCAGATTTATTAAAAAAGAAAAACTGAAATATCACATGGTCCTAAGTATTCAGACCCTTTGCTCAGTATTTAGTAGAAGCACCCTTTTGATCGAATACAGCCATGAGTCTTTTTGGGAAAGAGGCAACTTTCTGCCAATATGGTCCACTTTGTTTTAAAGCATTAGAGGCACAAATTCAATGATTGTGCTGTGATAATTATTAGATGTGGTAAAGAAATATAATTTAATAAAGAAAAAAATGTGTTTATCTAACATCAAATAAACCAAAAATATCTAAAAGTTTTTAGACAAATACTAGTATAGACCGCATTTGACAATCTCAATTATTCAACTCTTACACGTTCAAAAACTGAAAACTTCATACAAAATTAAAAAGAAAATAAAGTCATTCATATAATATTTAACTTGACCTCTGTTGGTTGACAATCAGCATTTTCTGAAGGACATTTCCTTTCATTGATTATATATTGAAAAAGGAAAAACCTTGCCCTATTCCATATTCTATTTATAGTGAGTGTCACATGTTTGTTTACATTTGAGTATGTCTGTACCTGCTTCCAGGTGAAGTGGTGGCTGAGGAAACAGCCGATCTCTCCACGTGTCAGCACCCTATCAGAGTATGGATCTTTATATCCCGGCATCATTTCTATACCTAGAGCTTGAAGTTGAGATGTATTCAGAGCCCTGACAGGGAATAAAAAAGGTCAAATCAACAGTTACCAAAACATCCAAACCCCAAACATCACAAATACGATTCCACAGAATGTCCCCTTTATGACCTACTTGCCATCTACAGCATTAACCAGCGTGGCCTCAAGTCCCAGCACCGCCATTGTGTTCAACATCCGTTCCCTCCGGTCCAACCTCCGCTTCAGATTAATCAGAAAGATCTGAGCAGAAAAGAGAACGAGAGAGTCTGAGGACGGACGCAGGGCAAAATAAGAAAATGTCACTTCAAAGAAGCTTAAATCAGCTGAGGTTTCTCTGCAGAATATCTATCATGAGTGTCCAGTCAAGCAAGACATTCCAGAGATTCTGCTCTCTCACCTCGTCAAAGCCCATCTTGTCCTGGGATTTGGGTGGAGTGAAGAGAAACTCAGAGGGTTTTATGCTATGATCAACTGCAAGAAAAGGCATTTTAGTTGCATAAAATGGACATCTGAACATTACACATTGGAACATAACAAAATGTAAATAAAACCTGTAAATAATAAGGATTGAAAATATAGTGTTTAAAAAGGGTGGTTTATTAGGGGCGGTGGCCATGGGTGTGCTTCTTATGGGTGTGTGTGTGTGTGTGTGTGTGTTTACCTACATGGTGGAGACCAGGCAACGGTCCCCAAGAAGAAAATGGCTTGATAAACATACTCTACTGTTTCAAAGTTTGGGGTCAGTAAGATTTAATAAAAAATTTTAAAGAAATCAAGACTTTTATTCAGCAAAGATGCATTAAACTTATCAAAAGTGACAGTGAAGACATTTATAATGTTAAAAAAAGATTTCTATTTCAAATAAATGTGTTTCTTTTGAACTTTCTATTCAAAGAATCCGGGGAAAAAACATGGATTCCACAAAAAAATAAATGTTTTTTGAGCACCATATCAGTCAATATTAGAATGCTTTCTGAAGGATTATGTGACACTGAAGACTAGAGTAATGGCTTCTGAAAAATCAGCTTCGCCATAACAGGAATAAATTACATTTTAAAATATATAAAAATAGAAATGTTATTTTAAATTGTAATAATATTTCCCATTATTACTGTTTTTACTGTATTTCTGATCAAATAAATGCAGTTTTGCAAAGCATAAAAGCCTTCTTTCAAAAGCATTTAAAAATGGAATTAGCCCCAAACTTTTGAACTGTAGTGAATGCATGAACATCTATGCTTTAATGTGTATATAATGTGTTTGTGAGTGATAATACTCACTCATGGCCTCAGTGATGGTGTGTGTGAAACTCTCCTCCTCATCTACTACACTCTGCTGGGCCTTCAGAGGTACAGGCAGAAAACCGTAATGTTCTCTGTTACATACATACATCTGTACACCTACAGAAAAAACAAAAGCATAATACAGACACATCATGAATATCTCACATAATTCTATGTACCCTATGTAGTCAGCCCACCCTACACAACGAGAAACATGAGTGTTACATCATTAATGTGTTTGTGTGGTTTGGTGTTGTCATGGCTTTATTCATGGGTGTGTTTGGAGTCATGGTTTGACGGCTTTGTGTTAGCTGTATGTGTATGTGATTTACTGTAAATCCACTGCACGCTCTCTCTCACACACACACACATTATTTCCTTAATGGAACATCCACAAACACCCAAAGAGGCCATAAAACTGCCCAGCTGGAGCTGGTTATATTAGCCACAACATTATCTGACATTAAAGCTGTTATATTAACACAAACCCTCCACAGCAACATATACTGGAGCTGGACAGTTGGAGGTGCAGTGATTTATGTGTTAGTTTCTGATCCGTGTCTGTTCTGGGTCCCAAAAACAGAAGAACGGTACTCTTAACTGCCTTCATCTGTTTGCTCTGAAAACATTCCGTGCTTAAAAGCACTCATTCCCAAAACAACTCACGCACTTAAATAATAAAATGGCAACACTTACAATATGTTCAATGGTTTAACATTAGTTAATGCGTATCATAACCTAACAATAAAAACTACTATAATACCAGTATTTATTAATTCAGCTTAATGTTAATTTCTACATATACAATACAACATCGATTTGCTACAGGAGGCCTTTGTTCACCCCCCGGAGCCGTGTGAGGCACTTTTTATTATGGATGGATGCGCTTTATTTCACTTATTTTGGACTGATGCGCTGCAACACCTGCTGACTGCCATTAAACAGCTTGGAAGATCAAAGTGAATTTTTAATATAACTCCAACTGGATTTGTCTGAAAGAAGAAAGTCATATACACCTAGGATGCCTTAAGGGTGAGTAATTCATGGGCTCATTTGTATTTTTGGGTGAACTAACCCTTTAATATTATAACATTTGATTTTATTATTTGATATTTAAATTAAATATATATAATTTAACTAGTTGTAACATGGGGTTTGGGCTTTGTTTCTCGCTTCTCGCTTCTGATTTTGATATTTTGCCTTGTTTCATGTTCCTGTCATGTGTTCCTTGCCCCTCATGTGATTCTGTCATGTGCTACTCTTGTCTGTAGGCTTGTTCGACTTCATGTGGCGCCGCAAAGATCGGCTGCCACCAGTCAAAAGCAATGCATTCTGGTTAGAAAATGTGTCCGCCTTTGATTGGAACTGCAGCTGCCTTACGATCACATGTGCCATCAAAGTACCACCAGAGTAAAAGCGACCAGCCACCTATCAGGCGCTGCAGTTGCTCAAAATCGGCTGCGAGAGCCTCCTTGATGACGACACACTTTATTCTCATTGGTTAGATTCTGTGATGACAAGCACAACATGTGTTGTGTGTTTATTCTAACAATTCAATTCCAATAATGCTCACAAATCTGTGTTTTTATAACAGTAAAAGCATTTTTTGTGTAGTCGCACTGTTATATTGAGTGACGTTTAAAAAAAAAAAACTGATAAAATACCCCCACTTTATTGGTATTTTAAATAGTATATGTTAGTGTTGAACTTTATTCATGAACAGATGGCGCTGTATTAAGCAGTATATAAAAAGTGTTTCTGTTGCTCATGAAAACGTTTCTGAAACGTCATTATATTTTAAATAAAAATATTGCATTTAATTCACTTCATCTGTGATAGAGTATGCAAACACTGCAAGAGTGTCACTACTGGGAGCAGAAAGTGTTCGACTTGACGTCTCTATTTTACATAATATATGTGACCCTGGACCACAAAACCAGTCTTAAGTCACACTTGGGTATATTTTTAGCAATAGCAAAAAAAAAAAACATTGTATGGGTCAAATTATCGATTTTACTTTTATGCCAAAAATCATTAGGATATTAAGTAAAGATTATGTTCCATGAAGATATTTTGTAAATTTCCTACCGTAAATATAACAAAACTTAATTTTTGATTAGTAATATGCATTGCTAAGAACTTCATTTGGACAGCTTTAAAGGCGATTTTCTCAGTATTTTGATGTTTTTGCACCCTCAGATTGCAGATTTTCAAACAGTTGTATCTCGGCCAAATATAAAAAAAATACCCTATCCTAACAAGCCATACATCAATGGAAAGCTTATTTATTCAACTGTCAGATGATGTATAAATCTCAATTTAAAAAAATTGACCCTTATGAATGGTTTTGTGGTCCAGGGTCACATATGTGTATACACCGTGCATATTTATTATGTATACTGTATATAAACACAAACACATACATGTATATATTTAAGAAAAATATGTTATGTTTATATATTAAATTTATTTATATATAATATAAGAATATAAATGTATATACATGTAAATATTTTCAAATATACTGTATGTGTGTGTATTTATATATACATAATAAATATACACAGTACACATACATATATTATGTAAACAAAAACTTTTATTTTGGTTGTGATTAATCGCAATTTTTAGTTCATTCTACCTAATGCATTCCCTAATGTAAACTGAATTATACTGAATTAAACCTTACTTTAAACTGATATTAATAAAACATTATAGTCTACAAAACAAGCTTGTCTATAACATAGTCTACATACACATCATTTTTAATGGACCATTGTTAAAACAATCCAATGGAGATCTCTCACCAGCTTGTCGTGCGGAGAATGCAAAGACCATGATGTCATCAAACGCCCAGCTGTAGTCGGGGTGAGGTGGGTGGAAAGCCATGTCGAGTGTGGCGCTACGTCTCAGATCCAACAGGAAGGTGGAGTGCACCATGGGAACCGTGAAACAGCCCAAGCGCTTCCACTCACGGATAGGCTGGTAGTCTGGGGTGCGCTTGTAATAACCCTGAGAAAATGACGGAGATATCAGGCTATTTCAGCATTGAATGTACAATTCCGTTTGAATGCCTTTTGAACAAAAGCAATAAATCTTGCCTTGAAGGGTTAGTTCACCAAGACGGGAGAACAATTGTTGAATAAAGTCATTATCTTTGTTTTCTTTGTACACAAAAAATATTCTCATAGCTTCATAAACGTTCAGTTGAACCACTGATGTCACATGGACTTTTTTATCGATTTCCTTACTGCGTTTCCGGGCCTGGGAACGTTTTAGTTACATTGCTGTCTATGAAGGGTCAGAAAGCTCTTGAATTTCATGACAAATATCTTAATTTGTGTTCTGAAGATGAACAAATGTCTTACGGTCTGGAACAACATGAGGGTGAGTAATTAATTCATTTCGGGGTGAAATGAAAATGTAATGATCATTTACTCAGTCATTCCAAGCCTTTTATGACTTGCTTTCTTCTGGAAAATCACTAAAGAGGATATCTTGATCAATGTTGGTAACCAAATTTTTTTTAGTAACCACTGAGTTCCACTGTGTGGACAAAAAAAATGCATTTTTTAAAAATACCTTCTTTTATGGTGCACAGGTGAAAGAAAGTCATACAGGATTGGAAAACCATGAGGGTGAGTAAATGATGAGATAATTTTATTTGTATTACTCTTTGAGCCTGAGATAAACCATGTTTACCTGAGGCGTGATACCACACCAGAAGTTTGAGTAGAGGGATCGGGAATCCAACATGGGTGCCACCAGTGTGAAATTCTCTGCCATCATGAGATCCAGCACCCGTGGGTTGGTCAGGAGGTTATCACTGTCAACAAACTTAGAGAAAAAGAGAGAGATGTAGTTGGAGAACTCTAGTTTTACATAAAAATACCAATTTAGCATCAACGTAATTGTCATATGATGAATATAGTTGGAGTATTAGTGCTTGCGTTTTTTATTTAACGTGAGTATAACAGATGCAACATAAGTCAATTATGACAAGAAAGGCAGCGTAACCTCACCAGTATATAATCAGCCCAGCGCTCTCGTGCAGCCTTCAGTGCCGCCTGTCTGAGCTTCATTACATGATTGAAACGAGATGGAGCCCAGTGTTTCGGCCCCCACTCATCTGTGTATGACCTTATATAGAAAAAAAGATGCATAGGTTTGGAACAGGACGGTGACAAAATAATGACAGAATTTATATGATTTTTTAATCCCTGCTCTGGAAATCATTAGATTTAGATGGGAAAGACATTAGCAGACTGTTGCAAATTCCTGACATAAACAACCATTAGTGCTAACTGACTTTGAAACCTCCTGTTCTGGAACAAGATGTTTTCAACCAACCGTGGCTCCTCCATGGGCCTCCACTCCACGTAATGGTATCTGCTCTGCCTGTTCTTCAGCCATTCTCTCAGCATGGATGTGGTGTTGTCCACATTATGGTCCGTTGCAGCCCTTCAAGAAAATATAAAGGAGAATTTACATCATTTTAACATAGACAAGACAATCTCCAAAAACAGCTGCTCATCAGGAGCAGTGAAAGAGCGATACGTCCCTCAGGCAAGGGTGGAACAGTCAACAATGTGTTTTGAGTTCATATTTCCTTCTCCTAGACTTGTGGAAATGCTCGATAAGATTATTAAAATTCAAGTGAAGATGTCAAAAATGCTATTTGACAATGCTAGCAAGCAGCTAGCACTGTATTTCCAGGGCTGATAAATTCCTCTGGCACATTTATGGGCTTGCAAGGAAGTGAGGCACTTAACAACCGCTTGCCAACAGCAGCTTGTGAGAGGTAAAAGACGTATTGTCTAAGTTTCATATTAGCATTTGAAGGGCCTAGCTTAGCATAGTTAAATATGTTACTAGCAAGTGAAAATTCATAAACTTCATCAAACAATATACCATGACTTGCAACATCATTTATGCAAAACAGCAACTCATTTATATTTTGACTACATTAACTGCGATGAACATACATGCATGTGACATAACAGTGAGCTTTCCCAGCATTACTACTCTGTGGCGTTGTGGAGATCACATGTAAACACTGACACAAGCACACAAACACACTCAGTGTCCTCAGTTAGTCAGGGCCGTTTGGCTGTGCCAGTGGAAACCTCCACTGCACAGGGACTCTGCAGTGAAACCATGTTGGAAAAAACCAACAAATATTGACATCACCTCAGTCGTCACATTCACACACACATTCACATTTCCTCACCCCACCTTTACCAGAAATAAAATTCAATTGGTGTGTATATCTATATTAATAGAGCACTGCTGGATGTTTTGCAGCAGCATCAGGATGAAACTTGAGGCAATGGAGAAAATTCAACTGGATTCATTTCACCTAATGTGTAGACAAGTGCAAAAACAGTTAAATGAATCATAATAATAATAAATTACAGAAAGCTTATTCATAAGCAGCCTTTTTTCTTAGTTTCAACTACTAATTATACATCTTTAAGCAATACATGCCTAAATTTAGCTAAGAAGATAAATTACATTGTTTACTTGTTTTAAAGCATAAACTTTACTAATTTTACTGAGGTTTATGCTTTAAACAAGACAAAATATGAGTCTGGTTACAATAGATTCTCTGGGGGAAGTCTCTTTTGTGCAATTTTACTGTACTTCAAGTAAACTGATATTTGTTTAAGAATGCTTAGATATTTGTAGCAAGAAAAAAAATATTATATTTTTATATATTTCTCATTTATTTATTTAAAGCATTAACATTACTAAATTTACTGAGATTTACGCATAAAACAAGACAAAACATGAATCTATTTACAATATATTCTCTGAGTCTATTTGTGTTATTTTACTTGTCATGTAAAATTATGTAAATGTATTGGTTTCTATATCTGTTTGACTGTTTTTTGGGGTTTATTTATTTATTTTCATGGATTTTTATTTATTTATTTTTTATTTTTTGAGGGACACATCCATCCTGTTCCCACTGCCGCCTTTCAAATCTATGGCGATGTCTGCTTTGAACATCTGCAGTGAATAATATTAGTGTAAACCCACAAATACACATATAACTCCCACGAACAAACATTGTTAGACAACAGATAACAGTGCATGCAGTGTGTGCATCTAAGTAAACTCATATTATTATACACTCTGCGTCTTTAAATAACAAGTGATAGACCAGCTATTTGACACCATGACAATTACTCAGCCAAGACAGTCTCACTCATAACAACATACTCCAACAACGAGTGCCAAAAATACAGGCCAAGGTGATGTATGTGTGTTTTAAGTATGCTTTATGGGTGTCCAAGTTTTTATGAGTGTATAACAGCAAAGGGAACAGACAACATCAAGCTTGATAAGCAGTCTGGTTTTTTTATGACTGGTAATGACACACAGGTAATGACAGGTAATTCAGTGTCAAAAAGATCACTGCTTTCACACACACCGCTTTTCTGATGACTTCAGCTAATGCAAGTGTGCCATAGTTGCTTTATAGGAAAACAGGCCTTCGAGCTGCAATAATTTTTCCAGAACATCTGTGAAAAAGCCATTATAATCAAAAGAGCGCATGCATGTGCATATTATTATATGAGGATAAATACACGTGCGTTAGATTTTTCTTTGCATGCAATTCTCATACTTATGTTCAATTCTCTGTTCATTCTAGTTCTGCATTTATATGAATTAAATAAACATGTTGTGGTTCTCTCACACTGCTGCAGCTGATAAAAAACATCTGTAATACACGGACTCACTGTATCTCTTTAAATGACTCTCTAATGGCAAATGATTGCACATTGTGTTCTTCTCCGACCCTCCTGGGGAGAGACCCACACAATGCATTTTGGGTTATGTTGCTCCATGACAAGGAAAACTGCACATATACACATGTGTGTGCAAGTATCCCTGGTGAGAATTTAGATTTATGATTTGATTTAGGAAGATTTATGATTTGTGCATGACTTCATGCTACATTAATATATGCTTTCTTTCATTATGTCTGACTGTAAATGGGGAAATCTCATGAAGAACATGTCTGGGTAATATTTCTCCTAAAATCAAAAGAAAAAGAGAAATGTATTGTTATATGTATAATATATATTAGAGTATATAACATTATAGAATTAGAATTTAACAACTGCGCTCAAAATTATTTGTAATTATGATTCTAATTACTTTTTATTAATAGTGATTAATATTAATTTATTTAAATGATTTATTTTATTAAAATTGCTAAAACAAATACTACAATTATTTATAAATCCCTTACTATTTAAATAATATATAAAATAAACAATCTCATAAAAATAACGGCAATAATAATAAAAATTTATAGTTTTGAAAAAGAAATAAATTTTCTTTTTACAAATTTTTTTTTCTTAAATAATAATAATACCCCGGCATGCTTTTTGATTCACCCAAATATAAGCACATTTGTGCTTATGTGAGTGTATTTCTGCCTGTATGAAGTTTTTGAGGCTGTGTCTCAGCTCTGGCCGCAGGGGGCAACACTCATATTCATGACCAGACAAGTAAACAGCCAGAGGAATTCAAACCTGCCAGCATATGAATTACTCAAACTTATATCCGGACAGAAACATTCTCCTCACCTTTCAGTCTCACCTCTCGAACCCTAACAAATTTCCACACCCAAGGGCAAAAACTCACTGCTGACACTGACTACGTTACATACACTTTCTCAATGAGGTCTATATTCTACAATATTATTTAGATGCTTCTCCCAATCTGTATTTTGATTTATGTTAATTTTTAATGTTTTGGAAACAAATCATTACTCCAAGCTGCAATTAATCTGATATTTCACTGTTAAACATCCCAAAGTTATTTCACTTGCAATATTCTGTGGGTGGACCTCATGATAAAGGTGATTAAAAGTGTTAGGGATGTATATGTATGTATGCATGTATATATGTGTGTGTGTGTGTGTTCGTGGCAGGACATTTAGCTCTAGGTTTTGTAAGTGTGTGCTCCTGCTGTGCTTGGAGGAAGCAGGACTTTGCTTATAAAAACCCGATTTTCGCCCGTTTGAAGTTTATTGTAAGTCTCCAGCTCATTATCTGACTGCTCGAGGCTCATTCTCTCTTTTTGTCTCTCCGTTTCTCCTCCATATGTCCTCATTGACAGCATCTGGACACCACATGCTACTCACCTCCAAACACACACATCTTATACTTTCTCCACCTGCACAGTACAGCCATGAGAGATAAAGATGACTATCCCCTAATAAAAGAAGCAATCATGTTGGAGTAAAAACACAGAGATTACATGAAATAACCCTGAATTAGATAAACCAGTAAAAAATATATTATTAAAGTCTTCTACTGTTCAAAGCTGCTCTGACAACACCGAAATAAACTTCCTAATAGGCTGATTACCCATTTTAACTATAACAATGGGTCTGTTGTATTGAGATGAGCATGTGTGTTCATAATGACAGAGAACAGTCTTTAATAACTACAAACTATGCCCTCATAACATAAATTTGAAAACAGAAGAATGACACAATAATAAGAACTTTATTATGTCTGGTCTCTTGGTATCACCTTAGTAAGGTTTATCACATTTTACGTATTTGCAGCAAGCTGATGCCTTTTTTTATGTGTCAGTATTGACTTTAGTATTTTCAGTACTTTTAGAATTCTTTAAAAAAAATGCTAGTTGCAATGGAGAGCGTTTTTGAAACAAACACATTTTCAAATATCTGGACTAATGTGGATGTAGATCCTCTAATGACTTTTTAAAGGGATTGCTCAATGCAAAGATGAAAATTTGATTTATGATTACTCACATTCATGTCATTCCAAACCTCTATGAATTTCTTCTTCAGAACACATAAAACGATATTTTCAAAATGTTTCAACGGTTTGTGTCAATAAAAGAAATGGGGTCCAAATCAACACTGGGCCATTGACTTTCATTGTATAGACAAAAAATTACAGTTTTGGAACAACATAATGGTTAATAAATTATGACAGAATCATATTAGGCGAACTATCCCTATTACACAAAAAATTGACAAAGTATACTACTGCATACACTGTGCCAAAATAGTTCTGCTTTGGAACATTTTTTTTTTTTTTTTTACGTAATTAAACAAAGGTTTTTAAATTTGAATGAAAATGTCCATTGGTTCAAACATAGCCAGTTACAGATGTGTGTGTGTGTGTGTGTGTGTTTGCTTGCTTTGAAGTGGCTCTGCCCCTATGCATGGGCTGACGTGGCTGCCTGGCTCCGTAGATTGAGGAGGGGGCAAAGGGGCTTGTGAAACCCTTGCTGTACTCAAATTCCTCCAGCCACCCTCTGTCAACACAGCTCTGCCATGTTACACACACAAACACATCTAGAGTGTGATGCTAGTTCATCCCTCCTCATGACATTTGACATCTTTTTACAAGTACATAATTACATTCACGTTAAAGGTACCAATACATTTCATTTGATACAGCTGCAAACTAGGACCTAAGAGATCCATCCAGAACAGTTTAGCTTAATCTGCTTTTCAATTGTTCTCCTATACATCTGTTCTGGAGTTATCACAAATCTGATAAAAGCAACAAAAGTGGTTAAATTAGTTGTAAACACATATCTGTAAAAACACGAATGCTTTTCTCAAGAGTGCATATAGGATCATAGACTAGTCGGTCAGGAAAACAGGAGAGATTCCCACAGTCTCACCTGACACACTGACAGAGTTTATCAAACATTCACATGAACTCAGAGACGCTCCCTTCATCTTCCTTGTGAATATAAACACATCTGCATGTGAAACACTGTGAAAAAGGTATGTGATATGTGCTTATGCACAGAACAAGAGCAAGACAAAAAGACAGTGAAAAAATTAGAAAGGGGTGTGAGAGAAAAAGACTGAAGAGGTAGACAGATTGATTGATTGTTTGCACTGCAGACAATGTTAGTCATCCCAGTGGTTTACCAGAAGGATGAAACCAGCAGAGAGCAATAAAACTGCATTTCCCCTCCAACAACATAAACCTCCGTCACCTCTAAATACCTCATTATATGTCACTGCAAGTCTGCTTGCTTCATGCACGTCTACCTTTTGTCAAGTGTGCCTTTTGGGGCAACCTAAAACAACGGTCTGTGACGGAGAAAAGTCCCAAAAATGTCTACATATTACCTGGAGAAAGTTATGCAATAGCAAATATTTCATTAGCAGCTGCATTGGACCTCAGAACATTTTGAGCCAATCAACAGAACCATAAAATGCCATGTGACTAAACACTCCAAAACTGCAAACAAGTGTTGCAATGAAAATGCTGCAATATCCACTATAAAACCATGTCATTTTTACATAATAGTATTGTGCATGTGCAGATTATTTGGTCACCTGCCCGGACCCAAAACACTGCACACCAATAAACTACTATTCCAGCTCGACTCTAGACACCCATGACTAAAGTCTGCAATCGTCCTGCCGTCTGGACTTTTGTGCACTATTGTTCCTCTACACTTGAACCCCTGCTGGGTTAAAGGCCTTTTGGGTTTTGGGTGGATGGGATAGACAACTGAATTGAGGTAGCTGTTGTTGGAAACAGCAGAAACTAGTTCTGGACATGCTGAAAAGAACAATAGTGAAGGAGAAGTTAGGCTATAGACCCCATCAAACACTGCGCCAGGGTTTTATTAACAGCAAAACTCATGCAAATCTAATAAAAACACAAACACACTCAGAGCTGTAATGACATACATATAATCATTTACATATCTGACCGTCAGATCAATTGCCAACATATCTCTATTGTTTTCTCAAACCCTTTGTTATAGCTATTCAGCATGCTTTGCTTATTTAACTTGCCAAAATGCCCAGCATTCCTCAACAACAGCATCATAACTGCTTGAACGAACACCTGAGTCTGAAGGAAAACTGCTCACATGGTTGTCAAGAAAATCACATCATACCGATAAGGCTAGTAAACATACACAAAAGAGCAGTTGGCTCTTATAAACGAGTTTGTGTTCAGTAATTTTGACTTTAACTTGATCAGTCATTTCTAACTTATGTCAAAAGCTGTGTTGGCACCATTATCTTGAACACCGTTTTGCTAATTACAGGACTGTGCCTTTAGGGAACATGACGCTGGATTCACACTCTTCCTTTGTTATTACTTAAAGACTGTCTGAGCCATTAATCAAGACACTGTCAGAGGAGATTGTCCTCTCTGTCTCTCTTGTTAGTGCTAACAATTCTCTTCAGTATTATAGTAGCTTAGCTCCTGCTAAAGTCAAACAATCACAGAAACTCTATGTAATCAAAGTTCCTTTAAGGTTGCGATGAAATGGAAGTAGCGACAGATCTTTTCGTTCTTATTGTGATATACATTTCAGTGAAACAGATTATCGAAAAAATCTTGGTTCTCTCCATTAGTTGCTGATTGGATGGAAGCAGATCTGAATGCGATCGTGAATTTAATTCATTTCATGTGGACCATCTTGCCTACCTTTTTAAGTACAGTAGGCCTAGTTACCTAAAAGTACAGCTATTATTTATTTGAATAAAAAAAAATATCCATAACTATTAGTTAGGATTACAGTAATAAATGTATCAAAAATGTTGCTATTTAACTTTTTTTCAGGCTAGTAGAATTAACAAAAAATTCTAGTGTAAACCACTCTTACACTTCATACTACTTACCTAACAAATAAGAGAAGACAAAGTTGGGCAGAGAGATGTCATTGTGGTTGACCAGTGCGCGTGGCCAATAGGGATGGAATGTGGATTGTTAGGCAACTTGTGGTGCCCCTGTGTAATTTTCAACAGTTCCCCTCCCCTGCCCTTTCCTCTCACTCCATCCTTTCTTCCCCCTAATTCCCCACATTCTTTCGCAAAGCAGTGAGACTTTCAGCCTGTCATTTGACTACTCCGTTTCTTCAGTAATCTCCTGTAGGTCTTCATAACTTTGCACATACACATATACAAATGTCCACAGGCAGCTAAAGTTGGCATGAAATAAAAATTGACCCTATCTATTTTCTAAATGGATTTTATAGATCCAATTGTAAACAATTTATCCATGCATGTTTTTTTGTTTTTTTTCCATTGTTGCTGACTTGTAATGTTTAATCAAAATGTCATAACCATACTTTTCGTTGAAAATGACAGACTTCTCTCTGGTGACTTATGCGCCTGAAAGTTTGCATTCATCTGCATCCACTTTTGATTGCAAAGCCTACATCTCAAAATCCAATCAACAAGCAATGGACACTCAGACATACATCACAATAAGAAAAAAAGATATGCTGCTACTTCCGTGCAACTTTAAATTCAATCCTAAATATTAAAGATTGGCTATGTAAACAGAAATGAGAAATTAGTCTGTGTTAGCAGAGTTTAGGCTATGGTGCAAATGACATGCAAAAGGATTCGAAATGAATTTCACTTCATAAATGTGTGCCTCGTTCAAAACACTCTCCAGTTAAAACCTGCCAGAAGAAATAAATGTAAAAAGTGTTAAAACATAAGGCATAACAGAGAAGTGGGGTGTACTGTCAGCCCAAACACATACTGAAAGTTTTCCAATCAAAGCAGCTCCGCTCAGACTGTGGAGCAGCATAGAGAGGAGAGGGAGATGAAATTAAAGTTGTGTGCCTCCAACCAATTGATTTGGAAAGAAATGTAAATGTAAATCACTTGTTTACCCTAGGAAAAGCTGAAGGGAAGTGAGGATAGTTCACGGATCATTCATGTTCATCATCTGTGGTATATGAACACGGATAGAAAGTGAGCATGAAAGAGACAAAGACATTAACTTTGGTCCCCTCTCTTGTATTTATTGACAAATACAAGAAGGGGGCGGGGATATCTGAATCATTCATGTAACTACGAGTAAGTTGGTAGAATGTATTCTTACACACAAGTCACCAGCTTTTTCAAATAACATTTCAGTAACAACAAAACGTTTACAAGTTAGAGCAAATAAATACAGGCATATCCTCGCGAGTCGAGTTCGCTTGAGAAAGTCACCGTACGCAGCTCATTTGATTTTTGTGTTGCGGACAGCACAAAACATAGATATTGCAATTATCTATCACTTTTATTTCTTTGTTATTACACATATTACAAGTAGCCTATGTCACAGTTAAGACGGATGGTAGGGGCGGCTGCGCAAGACGAACGTCAACTAATTGCCACTCGAAAATTATGCTGACAGAAACTCTCCTAAAACTCTAATTATAAAGAGAACCGACTGGACATGTTGCTTAGCCAGCAAAAGCCTTTCATCTTCATTTAACATGTAATTAAATCCGTGCACACACGCGTGGACAGAGTGCAGTAAAACCGCTTTAACAGGTCTGCTGCACGCAGACAGCGGCGTCTCTGTTCCTCTATCTGCCAGAAGGTTTTCATTAACCAAACCTTACCTGCGCGCACTTCACAATAACTCCACTATGTACCAGACCTTCTCAGTTTTCAACCAACACACTTGCTGCAAAGCAAACCATACACCTCTACAGCCGCACTCCATAAAAATCCAGTTTGGAGAGTCTCACCATATCGCAATCCGGTCCTTTGGGTAGTCCAGGCGGTCGACGCAGCCCAGGTAGTACGGCAGGCTGTGCGCCGAGTTCCGAGCCAGAATCGCGATCATGACTTTGGGCTTGAGCAGGGAGGATTCAGGCACGGGATTCAGCTCCTGCACATGAGCCACAAGCTCCCCACGGCAGTTTTGCGCCATCAGAGCGCAAATCACAGCCACCGCCACGAATCGCTCAGCCGGCATCTCTGCCTGATGAACACCGCTGTCACAACCTGAGCGGGTGTGTGAGTGAATGGGAGGCTGGAAGACAGAGAGGGTGTGTAAGGAGGGGTAGAGAGAGGTGGAGAGGTTACCTACCTCTTGACGAAAGTGGGTTGCTTTCTCCAGATTTTCACACCCTTCACCAGATGGCTCAGTGATATCTCAACATGATAGCTTTATTATTAGAATATATTTCACAAGAATGTAAATAAACAAACTATCATGATGCAGATGCTCCAGTGGCTATATGTAGCTATTTAAATATCGTACTTACCGTAAAAGTTCCCCGAAGCAACCTTTAATGTTAAGGATTTAAATTAAATGTTAAGGATTTTTTTTTTTAAATAATAATCTTTTAATGTCAGATACCATTCAGCTGATTCTGTGTTTAGCCTGCTGGAATTCGTTTACTTTGCTAAATTCAGTTTAAGATGGTATTTGGATTTTGAAAATTGATTTTTTTTTTAGCGTGTACCAGCTGGACATACCATTCAGCGCTCTGTCTTCCAACAGCGTTCAGCAGCAGTTAGCATAACATCTTACTACATCTCTGTGCACTTTAAAGTAAAATAAAAAAGGTTCACATATGGTCAAGAGACAAATGTATATTAGACAGAGAATACACCGTTAAAACTGCAGGTTCTCCATCAAAACAATATTTGACATTAGGGAGATATAAATGTATGTTTTCATCATTCGGCTGACAGAAAAACTCTCTGGGGACAGCCAAAGCAGAAGTTTGGCTAAGCTACTCTAGCTGGTGCAAACCTGGTTTCCATCTGCAATGTCAATGACTATGTCTATGTCTGGTACAAATTCTCACATCAAATGAGTTATTCTGACAGTTTCTGCAATATTTTACTCCACCATGTGAGAAGTTTGGATCAGGCCACTGGTGTCAAGTCCCAAAAGAAATGCATACACTGGAATAGCCTAATGTAACTTCAGAATGCAAGGAAGATTGTGCTTTCTCTGTAGGCAAAGGTGACAGCTTTTAGTAAACCGAATGAAAGCGAGTTTTTAAAGAGGCTAGTCGAAGTTCTAGTGGGAATGTTTTTAAAAAGACGAGTGAATGGAAGAGAGCTTATAATCGGAGGACAGTAATGGATTACATTTATAAAGGGTTTTCTACAGTTAAAAGCCATGTCAGGCATGTAGGAAGTGTTTAATGGTGGAGAAAAGAGGGACGGGAAGAGAAAAGTGAGATACATGGCGAATGAGGAGAGTGAAAAGAGGGGGAAAAGGAAAGAGGGCAAGAGAGGCCTGCTGGATTGAGTTAGATGTAATTGCTGTGCGCTCATGTTGGCAATGTAGAGTGACAACCAAGCCAGAGCTCTCACAGGGCTGAACTCAACTCTCTCTCATACCAGATCTTGCTTTCCTCCACTTCTCTTACACACACCAGATGGAGATCAGTCACACACATTCACACTCACATGCATTAAACCTACCTAAATGATCCCATTTTCATCATTCAGATCCACTTCAAACACACCAACCATCATGAAGCCCGTTCTGCTCCGTTCCCCCCACTGCTGTCCTCTAGAGAGCATAACAACCACTAGTACTAGATTAGCCTGTTAAAACTCACTCAATCGTGCATCACACCAGAACTCTACGTGAGAGAGAAGAACACAGCCAACCCTCCAGAACATGTTGTTCTCTAATGAGGCAGCATTCACATGAGAAGGGATTTATTGGGTTTTACCTCACAGTGGAAAGAACAAGAAGTCAATGTCTTTGCCCATATTCTTGCCCGTACTGTTCTCCACATGCAGAGCTGTATGAAAAAGCCAATGAATCCTTCACCCTATAGATAAAATATCCACAGGTTATGCATGTGTAATATGTGATCAAAAAAAATAGATCGACAGTTTACATGGGATGTACTCTTGTCAAAAAAATAAGGGCAATCTTTTTTTTTATTTTAAATTTTATCACAAATGTTGTGCAAATTGTATCTTTGAAATATTCTTTATTATTTTATTTCATATAGTTCATATTTATTTTTAAGTTTAATTTTGTTATGTAAATTGTTTTTATAATGAACTATGATATATCAAAATGATCAGTTTGGATAGAATACACACACACACACATATATATATATATATGTATATAACAACTGTTTTCAACATTGATAATATAATAAATGTTTCTTGAGCACCAAATAAGCATAGAATGAATGACATTTAAAAACATTAAAACAGACCAAACCTCTTTTAAATTGTGAAATAGATTTACAATACTGCTGTTCTTGATCAAATAAATGCAGCCTTTGTGAGCATAGGAGACTTATTTCAAAAACACGAAAATCTTGCTCACCCCTATATAAATATTTAATACACAAAAGACATATTACATATGAACCAAGTTTACATATACACGAATATATAAACCTTTAACACTGATTGGCTGCGGCTCACAAAATCCCTTTTTTTTTTTTTTACCTCAATCTCTTTGGGATTGAAATGTTGCTAATCATAAATCCAACAGGAAGCAAATAAAAAAAAATAGTTTGAGTTATAGACATTTACTATTAATTTTACCTCTCAAATATGTATTGTTTGTGGCACTTTCTGCGTGTCCATTTTTTCCAATTGTGCTGCACGAGAGATTTAAGCATTAATAAACACACAGACTCTCTAGAAGCACCAAGTAAATTAAAGCTGTGGAAGGAGCATATTCGAGTTTAACCACTGGAAACAGTAATGTGTCAGAATATCCCAAATACCCTGAAATGTCCACCGGTGCACTAGCAACTCAAATGAAGTAAACTGTTTTCAACATTGATAATATAAGAAACGTTTCTTGAGCACCAAATAAGCATAGAATGAATGACATTTAAAAACATTAAAACAGACCAAACCTCTTTTAAATTGTGAAATAGATTTACAATACTGCTGTTCTTGCTGTATTTTGATCAAATAAATGCAGCCTTTGTGAGCATAGGAGACTTATTTCAAAAACACGAAAATCTTGCTCACCCCTATATAAATATTTAATACACAAAAGACATATTACATATTAACCAAGTTTACATATACACGAATATATAAACCTTTAACACTGATTGGCTGCGGCTCACAAAATCCCTTTCTTTTTTTTTTTTTTAACCTCAATCTCTTTGGGATTGAAATGTTGCTAATCATAAATCCAACACACACACAAATTAATCGGAGAGACAGCACACAGAAACCACAGCTCCTGTGTCTCATGTTTTAATAGAAAAAGAAAACATTGAAAATAAAAATTAAAAAGGAATCAATCCAGTAATCATAACGACAGATGCTTGGCCAGCGTTGTGTCCCCCAAAGTGACCCCAACCCACCTCATACTGTTTAAGTCTAGAATATGTTTATGAATTGTAAGAGACAACGAGAATTCATTTTAGCCAGCACGACTGAATACTTTTGAGTAAGAAAGGCAGGGTGAGAAATAGAGGTAAACACTAGCTAAACGCATACAGGCCTAAGACAAACACCTCATCCCTTTGACAACGATTAACACAGTAAGACCTGGTTCTCAGACACAGATTAACACAAATACTGCCCTCGAAACACACAAAACAAAACAGACAACCCCAGTTCTCTGCCATAGTCTCTTCACAGTCCATTACCAGTATTAAAGGGCAGCATAAACAGTCAATACGGATCTTTAAGTTAAATGGTGCCAGTTTGCGGGTGGCTGTAAGGGATATATTTGGATGTGTGTGTGGGTAACTAATAATGAAATTTACAAATAATAGCAGGCTATACAAAATGAAAGTGTGAACCTGTGTGTAGAAAGAGGGTGTGGTGATAATTTTAGCTTTAAGTCTTTCTGTGTGTGTGTGTGTGTGTGTGAGAGAGAGAGAGAGAGAGCGAGTGTGTTATGGGGTCACCGTACAGCCCTGACCTTTTAAAAAGGAATCAATCCAGTAATCATAACGACAGATGCTTGGCCAGCGTTGTGTCCCCCAAAGTGACCCCAACCCACCTCATACTGTTTAAGTCTAGAATATGTTTATGAATTGTAAGAGACAACGAGAATTCATTTTAGCCAGCACGACTAAATACTTTTGAGTAAGAAAGGCAGGGTGAGAAATAGAGGTAAACACTAGCTAAACGCATACAGGCCTAAGACAAACACCTCATCCCTTTGACAACGATTAACACAGTAAGACCTGGTTCTCGGACACAGATTAACACAAATACTGCCCTCGAAACACACAAAACAAAACAGACAACCCCAGTTCTCTGCCATAGTCTCTTCACAGTCCATTACCAGTATTAAAGGGCAGCATTAACAGTCAATACGGATCTTTAAGTTAAATGGTGCCAGTTTGCGGGTGGCTGTAAGGGATATATTTGGATGTGTGTGTGGGTAACTAATAATGAAATTTACAAATAATAGCAGGCTATACAAAATGAAAGTGTGAACCTGTGTGTAGAAAGAGGGTGTGGTGATAATTTTAGCTTTAAGTCTTTCTGTGTGTGTGTGTGTGTGTGTGTGTGAGAGAGAGAGAGAGCGAGTGTGTTATGGGGTCACCGTACAGCCCTGACCTTTTCAGCACAATCTTAAAGAGGTATGATCTACGCAATAAGCAAAAAGGAAGAACAAAAAAAAATAAAAAATAAAAAAACCTTTTATGGAACAAACAAATCAAACTTGACAAATTAAAAAAGGTCCTTCAAAAGGCAGGAGTCCATACTCAAATGTTCAAAAACTTGCTATCTTATCAAAATATCAAAATAATCAGCCAGTTCGTTCATATAGTCGCTCTTCATAAAATATCTCTCTTGTTCAATCATTTCTCCCCCCAAAAACCCACAACACTCCATCTTTACATTCACTCCCCATTATCTCTAGAGGATGTTCGTAAGCTCTCTTCAGGTTCCTCCATATGTCAGTTTTTCTCTGGCCTGCCACTTAAAACAAGGACTGGGAGGGGCATGTCATCTTTTTTTCTCTCCATATCCTTTCATCTCCCTCTCCTTGACATAATGTCTTTTTCTCTCTCTCAGATGGCTTCGTCACAGCCAGGCGGAGGAAGTGGGCCGTTTCAATGCTGGCCGTAGGAGGAGAGGTGCGGAGGGGGACGGGGGTCCTCATTTCACGTCAGAGTGAGTCTGTGTTGATAATACATCAATCAAGCTGTTCTTTCTTCACCCAAAACCATCTAGATCTCCAAGCAAGGCAACCCCAAGAGAGGAGAAGGGGTCAAGGGTGCAACAGCCTATGAGGAAAAGTCCTGCATTCTCTCGCTCTCACAAGCACACGCTCTCACGCACTCGCACGCACACTCACTCTCAGACTGACAGAGTGTTACTGACATAGGAAACACTGATTTTTGAGTTCACTCTCTCTCTATTTCCATCTCTGGCAAGATCTGGCGCCTCTCTGCTATGTTCCATCCCCCTCCTCCTCTGAGCAGTAATCCCGCCCCTAAAAAATATGGAGAGAGAGAAAGATTAAATAAAAATGCTATAAGTGAATTTGAGTTTCTGTCCTAACTAGCAGCAAGAGTGATAAGCAGTTGCTCCAACCACAAAATAAAACTCATTAGACCAAAATCCCGTTCCTCATGAATATTAAACAACTATGGATGAGAACAGATTACTTATGGAAGCTAGTTTCTGGCACTTAATAAAAAATAAAAAGGTTTAAATCTCCCACTTCTGACTTTTATCTCACATGCAAGTTCACATCTCACAATTGTTTTTCTTGTTTAAGCCACAGAATAAAAAAATTTAATTGCGACTTTTTCTCACAATGCTGACTTTTCTCTCGCAATTGTAAGAAATATATAAACGCACCACAATCTGATTTTTACAAACCTGATTTAAAGTCAGATTAAACTTTAAACATTTAGATGGTCAGGTGATTATATGGCAACCAATGTAGATATATTGACAACACTGTCTGAACAAAGAGATACAATTTCATCATTTATGAAATGCAGATAGCTACTTCTAAATGAGACTTTTTTTGCAGTATAAAAGCGCTACAACCCTTACATAACCCTGTCTTATTTAAAACAAAATCTAAAATGTTTAGATTTAAAGGGGTCATATGGTCATATAAGGGGGTGATGCTGCTAAAAAGAACATTATTTTGTGTATTTGGTGTAATGAAATGTGTTTTTGCGGTTTAAGGTTAAAAAACACATTATTTTCCACATACTTTACATTATTGTTTCTCCTCTATGCCCCGCCTTTCTGAAACGCGTCGATTTTTACAAAGCTCATCGGTCTGAAAAGCGAGGTGTGCTCTGATTGGCCAGCTATCCAGTGTGTTGTGATTGGCCGAATACCTCAAGCGTGTGACGGAAATGTTACGCCCCTTACCATATGCCCTGTCCGGCCGGAGCGACGAGACAAAAACATGAAAACCCATTATAAACGAGGCATTTGTTGCATCCAGTGGGGACATAATCAGGATTATAATGACTTAAATGGTCATTTTACGCGTTGCGTTGCATCACGCAGTGTAAACATAAAACCATGTCTGCATTTGTGATCGGAGAAATGACAAACAACAAGTGCTACTCAACACTGCTCAAAACTCGCGTTTGAATCATCAGTGGCAAATCCTTTAAATATGAAAACGTACTTACAGACTGTGAGTCAGAACAGGGAGGGGGACGGGGGTCCTCATTTCACGTCAGAGTGAGTCTGTGTTGATAATACATCAATCAAGCTGTTCTTTCTTCACCCAAAACCATCTAGATCTCCAAGCAAGGCAACCCCAAGAGAGGAGAAGGGGTCAAGGGTGCAACAGCCTATGAGGAAAAGTCCTGCATTCTCTCGCTCTCACAAGCACACGCTCTCACGCACTCGCACGCACACTCGCTCTCAGACCGACAGAGTGTTACAGACATAGGAAACACTGATTTTTTGAGTTCACACTCTCTCTATTTCCATCTCTGGCAAGATCTGGCGCCTCTCTGCTATGTTACATCCTCCTCCTCCTCTGAGCAGTAATCCCGCCCCTAAAAAATATGGAGAGAGAGAAAGATTAAATAAAAATGCTATAAGTGAATTTGAGTTTCTGTCCTAACTAGCAGCAAGAGTGATAAGCAGTTGCTCCAACCACAAAATAAAACTCATTAGACCAAAATCCCGTTCCTCATGAATATTAAACAACTATGGATGAGAACAGATTACTTATGGAAGCTAGTTTCTGGCACTTAATAAAAAATAAAAAGGTTTAAATCTCCCACTTCTGACTTTTATCTCACATGCAAGTTCACATCTCACAATTGTTTTTCTTGTTTAAGCCACAGAATAAAAAAATTTAATTGCGACTTTTTCTCACAATGCTGACTTTTCTCTCGCAATTGTAAGAAATATATAAACGCACCACAATCTGATTTTTACAAACCTGATTTAAAGTCAGATTAAACTTTAAACATTTAGATGGTCAGGTGATTATATGGCAACCAATGTAGATATATTGACAACACTGTCTGAACAAAGAGATACAATTTCATCATTTATGAAATGCAGATAGCTACTTCTAAATGAGACTTTTTTTGCAGTATAAAAGCGCTACAACCCTTACATAACCCTGTCTTATTTAAAACAAAATCTAAAATGTTTAGATTTAAAGGGGTCATATGGTCATATAAGGGGGTGATGCTGCTAAAAAGAACATTATTTTGTGTATTTGGTGTAATGAAATGTGTTTTTGCGGTTTAAGGTTAAAAAACACATTATTTTCCACATACTTTACATTATTGTTTCTCCTCTATGCCCCGCCTTTCTGAAACGCGTCGATTTTTACAAAGCTCATCGGTCTGAAAAGCGAGGTGTGCTCTGATTGGCCAGCTATCCAGTGTGTTGTGATTGGCCGAATACCTCAAGCGTGTGACGGAAATGTTACGCCCCTTACCATATGCCCTGTCCGGCCGGAGCGACGAGACAAAAACATGAAAACCCATTATAAACGAGGCATTTGTTGCATCCAGTGGGGACATAATCAGGATTATAATGACTTAAATGGTCATTTTACGCGTTGCGTTGCATCACGCAGTGTAAACATAAAACCATGTCTGCATTTGTGATCGGAGAAATGACAAACAACAAGTGCTACTCAACACTGCTCAAAACTCGCGTTTGAATCGTCAGTGGCAAATTCTTTAAATATAAAAAACGTACTTACAGTCTGTGAGTCAGAACAGCCAGCATTGTAGTCTACTCTTCAAGGATCAGGAAAAAGTCCTCCGTAAAATGCGCTGGACACATCTGAATATTTGGGTTAAACTGTTCTGGAACAGTGTTGTAAATACAACTTAACCACTGATTTCTAGTCGTGTCTTCTTTTGGAAGGCCAAACAAAGTAGTTTCGCTTTCACAACAAAAAAGCATCACACACCGCGGCCTTGAGTGAGCGGAGGCTGGAGGCCTAGAGTGAGCCGCGGCCTAGAGTATGCGGAGGCCGGCTTGAGTGAGCAGAGGCGGGTGGGCTTGAGAACGGCACGGCCGGCGGATTCGATGAACTACATGCGGCAACCACGTGTGACGACCCCGGGCTGGACTCCACTTCATCCACAGTGAAAGCTGATCCGGCGATCGACAGCGCTAAGTTGATGTATTTCCTCAGCGACCAGCACGGATCAGCTCCAGGCATGACAAAGCGGATATCGTCCTCTTTTGGAAGGCCAACCAAAGTAGTTTCGCTTTCACGAGAAACAGCGCCTTCACGACATGGCGGTGGCGGCAACAACAATACTACAGCGAGAATAAAAGCTACGCCTTCTTTCTTTGCGTGAACATTTGGGCGGCGTTATGCAAATCTTCCCAGATAGTGACATAGGTATGTGGGGGCGTGTTAGAACGAGCCGTTTTAGGTAGGCGTGCTTGACTCTTAACTTTTATAAAGAATATCTCTTTGGATTTGAGACTTTAGTCTTTGCAACTTTACAGATCTTCTTTATGCACCAAGAGCTTGTAACACTCCAAAGAGAAAGGAAAAATTGAAATCGCATCATATGACCCCTTTAATACATTTTATTCCAATTGATCTCAGACCTTAAGAGAGAGACAAAGACAGATAAGAGAGGGAAAGAAGGAAGTACTGGGAAAAAGGCAGAGCCATAAATATAACATTTTATCTCCAGAGGTCTACAGGAAGTACCAGACAGTCTGAAGGACAAAACAATCTTTTAAATGTCACAATCTAGATAAATGAACAGTCCTCTGAAGGGTGGTTTAATGTACACTGGCCCTTTAAAATCTCTATCCCATCTGCTGCCTGCTTTACTTCTGTGCCTCATTCTTTTCCTCCCTCCCTTACCTTCTCAATCTTCTCATCCAGCATTCTGAAGAACTCCAGCTGACTCTCTGACGTATGTATGCTGAGAGAGAGAGAGAGAGAGAGAGAGAGAGAGAGAGAGAGAGAGAGAGAGAGAGGGGGGGGGGGAGGGGGGCGTGTGCATCTGTGCTCACAGCGGGAGGGGAAATGGGTACATCGCTACAAGTATAGCATGCAGCTCTTTTCGATTTTTTAGGCAGCAAAGA